AAAGGCTGTTCGCAGGACTCAAAAGAAATCAGCTTAGAATTCTTTGTTTACTTGGGAGGATTGGGGTGGGAAGGCAGGGAAAGCAAGAGAGGGAGGGCAAGGAGTAAAAAGGAGGGGGTGATTTTGTAGTTTCTGAGGGTCTGAGGGATGCTCCATGGCCAAGGGAGTTCCGCATGATCTCACGGGACAGTGAGCCCTTTACTACGTGACTGCTTATCCACTGCATTTAAAGTACACCCCCGGTGGGGGGAGCCGCCTGGGTGGCTCAGTCGGTTAAGTGGCTGTCTTCAGCTCAGGTCATGATCCCAGGGTCCTGGGATCGAGCCCCACGTCGGGCTCCCTGCTCAGCGGAGAGCCTGCTTCTCCCTCTCCCTCTGCCTGCCGCTCTGCCTACTTGTGCTCTCTCTCTTTCTGTCAAATAAATAAATAAAATCTTAAAGTGCAGCCCAGAGAGTGAATGTTTAATTTTTTCACTACGTAACTGGCCATAAATCTTTGGAAAATGTGGGGAGTGATGCATTTGATTTGAACCTACAAGGTCTGAATTAATTCACCTTCATGCTTAACCGAGTGAAGCAAGTTTATAACCACACGTCCCTAAGTGGGGCCGGCGCACAGAGGAGAGAACATATCCCCACGGAGCTTGAGAATAACGTCGCTGACCTGAATCGGATCCAGTAGAAACTAAACATTCAGGACATACTTTTACAAAGTGAGCTTAACCAAAACATGAGAAAAAACAAACCGGTCATGACTTAGCGGGGGTGGGGCCACAGTCTACTTTTTCACTCCCCCCACCCCCTGCCCCCCAGTCCACTAAGTCTCCACCCAGCATGAGTTGTGGATGACATCACTCACTTCCCAACTACACTCCAGCAGTTTCCTGCTTTCCAGAGCCCGGCCAAGCAATGCAGTCAGCGGCTGACCAGGTCAGACCTGGGCAGAGATGGAGCCGGGTCAGGTCAGAGTGGAAATGAAGGCCACACCAGTGCTCGTTCGTTTGTTCGCTCCGTAAACTGCTTGCTTTACCACTGATCTTTCGGCCCCTCTTCCTTGGATAGACCCGCACACCGTGATGGGTCCAGGCCAGGCCAATCATGGCAGGAGCAAAAAACACACCAACACTGCTCTGCTCCAGGAAGAGCGCAGGGACCAAAGTGAAGGGCGTGGGAAGGGAGGAGGGAGCTTTGACCCGCTGCATTGTCTAGTCCCCAGCCAAGATGTCTTTCTCTGCTTGTCAGGCTGTGAGGCGAAAGCACTCAGTCTATTTCTGTACGGTTTCAAGGGGCTGCTCTGCCTCCCAGAAATGCTCTACCTGGCAGTGATCCCCATATCAGCAGCCTAGGACAACATAATCCCTTAGGTGTGAACCAGGAGGCTGCTTAACCCCAAGATTCTAGCTCATATTCTTGTCCCTGAGAGTCGTCATGTCCTCATTTTATGCCCCATGTTTGTCAATAAAGAAGATTTCATATTCAAGAGGGCCTCACTACATGAGGACTTCTTTCTAAGTTCTTTGGGAGGCTCGGTGCGTGTTTGAAAGAGAATAGTCAGATACACTGAACACTAACATCAAATGGACCTTTGGTGGAATTCACAGGTAGCTGGACACCTCTCCATGCAGCTGTGAGCTCCATGCAGAGCTGTGTGAGAGCGCCTGAGAAGGGAGGACATACTCATCCGCTCTCTACCCCATGACGGTGGCCAAGAAGAGCCCCTGGACAAGTGAGCAGAGAAAACACAGTCTTGTGCTTCCATAGCAGATCTGGGGCCAGCAGACATTAGACAGAACCAGACGAACCACACTCAGGGGTGCATTTCTTATGGGAACATCCTAAGTCCTCTGTGCTTCCTTCAGTGTCTCAACTTTACAGGTGTTTAAACCCTGCAGGGCAGCTGCGATGGGCAAGGTGATGCGACCTGCCAGATTCCACCTGCTGCACATGTGTCCTGACTCCCTGGCAACCGACTGGCCTTATATAAACATTGTTTCCAAGTGCTTTTAGTTAATCACCTGCCTATTTAGTGTATTTTCTTTTCTTTTAAGATTTTATTTATTTATTTGAGACAGAGAGAGAGAGCATGAACAGGGGGAGGGGCAGAGGGAGAGGGAGAAGCAGGCTCCCTGCTGAGCAGGGAGCACGACTCGAGGCTCGATCCCAGGACCCTGAGATCATGACTTGAGCTGAAGGCAGACGCTTAACCGACTGAGCCACCCAGGTGCCACTATTTATTGTATTTTCATGTTATAAAAGGGCCACATGCTCCATGCAGATATTGAAGTAAGCAGAAAAGTAAAGAAAAAAAGCTATTTATAATATAGCAGCCCAGTGTTACCATTTTGGTGTCTTTCATAGTCTTTCTCTATGTGGGGTGTAATTTACTTCTCAATTCTATCATGGCACATACTTCACTTACAGGCTAATATTTTTATGTCGTGAAATTTATGCCACATGATTAAAGAGCCCTTGTAAATTATAGAAACTTAAAGACAATATCAAAACAATGTGACCAGAAGACAAAGACCACCTAGTAGATTTCTTTTGGCCCAAGACTGTTTTGGAGAAATTTTATAAGCTATTAGGTTTATTGAACACCATAAACCATGAGCTTTGAAAGAATTTTGGAAACATAACGTAACAGGGTAATCTGTAGAATACAGGGTAGGAAAATCTTGAAAACAATTTGCTCTTTCCTTCCCACATCAAAGATCTGTATTTGTTAAACTGTTTCTTACAGGGAGATTCACTAAGTAGTGAGGAGCTGAGCAAGAATCTTGTACTATTTTGGAGCTTTCAATAATATGCCAGAAATAATATGTAAGTATGTCACTAAAGAGAAACAAGAATACATACGGTGCTTAGTAGGAATGAAGACTTATTTTACAAAGGAAAAATTAGCTACAGCCAGATGGGAAACTCTGAATGCACGTTAGAGTGGTAACAAAGGCCTCAGATGTCCATAAGCTGCGTAATCCTTGTATTGGGTGTTTCTATACAAACAGCTTGGGGAAAAGTGAAATGTACTGGTGAAGGGTCTACGGCAGTTAATGGTATTTACTACCATTATTTTTGTATTGTGTAATAAGTAAATAGAACATGATGAAAAAATTAAATGGCAAAAAACATCGGCCTATAAGTAAAGACAGTGGGGGAGGGGAGGTTAGGCAGTAAATATTTACAAAGCTAAATCTGGAGGGGAAAACTGAACTCCCCAGCATTTTACCGCGTGATTGCTCAAAGTCAGCAGGGCTGGAGATGTTTATTGTTTGAGGACAGACTTGCTTTATTGACATTCTCCCCTTTTAGACCTACTACGTAGTCAGAGGGTGCTTCTCCTTTGTTCTCAAGTCCACAGCTTTCTGTACTTGTTATGTTTTCTTTTACTAGGGTACATCATAAGACCCATTAGGGAAGGACTTGATCTTGTTCACCTCCACGTGGTTGTATGAGAGACTGAGAGAATGAATGAACACTGAAGAAAAAATGAGAAGCTTTCTGATTTTTGAGGTCTGAGTTTGGGCTTTCCTTCCGGAGTGGATAGACGGATATGTGTTTCACAAGTACTCAAATAAGCACGTTTCGTGATTAAGAGTAAGAGTGACTCACGATGCTAGAATTTTCCCACCTGCAGGAACCAGCCCCTCCGGTGTCCCCATTCCCCTTTCTCTCGGTCATCTCGGCAGGAAATTACTACACCGTGTCTCCTGCAAGGGTGATGAATGTTGGAAGCATTTCAGCAGACTGGGGCAGGGGCCAAAATGGGATCAAGTAAAAGTAAATACCAGCCCTTATTAGGCGATCCTGGCCTCCCAGCGGTGCGTTTGCCCTGATCCACGCGCAACTTCCTGCCGGCATGGAAAGCGGACCTCTAAGGCCACCGCCTCCATGTGACCGTGACCGTTCCCTGACTTCCAGGAACTTCTTTAGTCAGACACCACTTCCTTCCTGGTTCCTCAGGCTGGATTGTTTCACTGATGCTCCCGGCCTTGCCCTGAGGTGGGGGCGCCACACGGTGGCAGAAGGCTCTCCTCAGGACACCCAGTGAGCCCACGGCCACCCCCCCGGGGTTGAATCCACACGGTCGTTGTCCCATGAGTGGAGCAGCGGCGGTTCTAGAATTCTGATGTCAGAACTGCTCTCACACGTGGTGGTGGCGGGACAGGCAAGGATGCATAGCATACATTTGCTTATTAGTGACCACAGGATTTTAGATTATATGATGATTTTTATTTAATGACTATCAAATGCTCAGAACTATTAAGGCTATCAATTATTGGTTCCTAATTTTTATACCAAACCATTGTCTCTCTAATTCAGTTCTATCTACCTCTATTAGCTGTAAGCTGCCAGAACTGGAAAGCTTCTTTATTTGGGGGATTACCCAGAGCGCTGAGCACAGTGCCTTATGCACACTGGCTGAATGAATGAATGAATGAATGAATGAATTTGTTGGGTGAGATACTGCGGGGTTTTAATCTGGGCAAGACAGGATAGATTCTGAAGGAGGCTGACTTTCTCCTCAGTTCTGCCCCCCCGCCCCCCCGCTCCGCAGCACAGCCCCTCGTCTCTCGGTCTTCCAGCCTCTCTGGGCTGCTCTCCCAGGCTGTGCTCTTATTCCTAAGCAAAGGCCTTCACTGACCAACGCTCAGGAGACTTTTAGCACTGAGGAGGTGCCATCATTGAGGCCATTCTAGGGAGCATAAAAAGCAAACTCTTCTCACTATCCATTTTTGTTAACTGAGGTATAGTTAAGTTACACTCAATAAAATTCATCTTTTTTATTGTGCAGGTCTATGAGTTCTGACAAAGGTATATAGTCATGGAACTATCACCACAATCAAAATAATCAAAATACAGAGTATTTCCATCAGCCCAGAAAGTTCCCTTGTGCCCCTCTGCAATCACGCCCCTCCTCCCTTCTGGAAAGGTCATTCGGCACCCATAAAATTTCAACCCTTCTCCCTGTACCAACGCTGTTGCTACCCTCCCGCGGACTCCTGTGGGATTCCCTGGTCTCCTCACACCCCCCAGACCTTCAACGGGTCCCCCCAGACTCCTCGCAGGGCTCTGTAAATGTAGACATTTCTAGAGTATGGTCCTTCACCCTCTTCTCACTTCTGTCATGCTTATCCTTGCTTCTCCCCTGTTCAACATCTGCTTTCATCTATATTCTTAAAACCCTCAAGGCCTTCCTTTCTATTCCTTCCCTCTGAGTGCTGTGTCTGTATTTCTAATAGATCCACAGACCACTTTATATCTCCTGTTAACCCTCGCAGTCCTCCACATCTAAGCCAGACTCATTTCTGGCTCTGCCCATCTGCCTCCCGCCGTGTTCCTTCCAGGACTGACGGCACCACCATCCCAGTCAAGCTGCAAGTGGCCCACCCCATGACCCCACGTGTAGGTGGCTACCCTTAAATATGTCTCGAAGTCGCCTCTCTCTCCACGTTAGCTTCAGTGATCGCAGTGTTGACCTTGATGAACTCTGGCCGCAACTGGTATTTCCCTGGCTCTGGCCCTTGGCCCTCTGAACATTCTCCACTGGCTGTCAGAGCTCTTTTTCTAAAATAAAAATCAGATCACCTTCTTCTTCTTCTTATAAAAGATACAAAAACCCAAAACAAACGCAGAAACCATCCTGAAGTGACTCCCCAGTGTGCACAGGAGAAAAACCCAAGTTCCCACTGATGTAATCAAGCTTTGTAATAGCTTGGCCCCGTCTTGCTATCCCAATGCCATTTCTCAGCCTCCCCATCCCGTCCAACCCCAGCCACACTGGACTTCTCTGGGCCTGGCATGTACACTGTGCCCCTGAGTTGAAATTCACTGTTTCCCTGGGTCGGAGGTTGCGGCTTTTGTGAAGTATTCGTGACTCTCTTCTTCCATGCACCCTCCTCTCTCACCCACCTCAGTCGGAAGCTGCTCTTGCTACCCCTGGCTGAGGGCATTCAGAATGCCAATTCCACGCTTTCTAGGCGCCCTTGTGCTCCTGACACCCCTACTGGTAACTCTACGCCTCAGATGCAATGAAGAATTCAAGAAATGCCTACTGAAAACATTTTGCCCAGGGTGCCTGGGTGGCTCAGTCGGTTGGGCGGCTGCCTTCGGCTCAGGTCATGATCCCTGGGTCCTGGGATCGAGCCCCGCGTCGGGCTCCCTGTTCAGTGGGGAGTCTGCTTCTCCCTCTCTCTCTGCCTGCCTCTCTGCCTACTTGTGCTTTCTCTCTGTCAAATAAATAAATAAAATCTTTAAAAAAACAAAACAAAAACATTTTGCCCAACATCAGATGAAATGTATAAACATCAAGGCAAAAATCTTGCATTTTTTTATGTACTTTTGCCTATCCACTGCTTATTTACATCACAACAGAGCCACATGGGCTTATTAAAAAAATTGTTATAATGTTTCCTGCTTGGACTTGGATCAATCTGTAACAACAACAATAAGGATAATGGCGACTTAGACTTTTTTTGTTCTAAATCTAATCCAGGAGCACTCCAAGGATGAGAAGTCGGATTTTGGCCACTGATGGTTACCAACGGAAGGTCTATCACTGTGTGGGCTATAAAGAAGCATTTTATGTATGAAGCCCAACACCATGTATTTTAAGTGCTTTGATAAATTTTTATATCTTTGGTATTTCCCTTCCCTCCATAAAATATCTGAAATAACATAATTATCACCCTATAGTAATGCAATCCCACCACATTGTTAAAAATGAAAACTCATTTAATTCGCTCATTTTCTAAGGCAGAGCTTCCCACTTGATGTGCTGAGGAGGAAGGCAGATGGTGAAACACGGATTTTCCCAGCCTTTGGAGGTGCCTGGCATGAGCAGGCACCTCCATTTATCTGCATAGAGTAAAATCTTATCATTTTGAATACAATAATGTGAAAAAGGTCCAGAGACACTATGCTAAGCCATTCCACTGTTTAAACATCAGACCGAACTGTACCAAGTTACTCTCTTCCGAGTTCTGTGAGTGGAATCAGTTTTATGACTCAAGAGATCCTGAACACCTGATCTTAAAGAAAAGAAAAAGAAAAATCCAAACCATGACGGCAGAGGAGTTTTACATGGTGGAAGAGAATGTTTAGAAAAATAGCAAATCCTATTACTTCCCAACACCTGGCTTGCAAAGTGTAGGCAGAACATAAGGATTGAAGGCATCAGGACACACAGCCTGGGGGAGGCTTCTGGAGAATGCTACTCACCGTTCCAACCAAAGGGTAGATGAACCCAGCACCTATGCTGGCCCGAACATCACTAATGGGCAAAATGAAATCTCTGGGTACACCTTTCTTGTCAGGTTCGTGAGATAGAGAAAGGTGGGTCTTTGCCATGCAGATGGGCAGATTTCCAAAACCCTGTAAGAAAGGAAAGGAAAGGTGTTCACTGAGTACAAATTAGGCTCCTGTGTGTGTTCAACTTGACTACACACCATCCCCGAGGCTCAGATCAGGCACATGGCAGGTGCCGGTTCACTGGGCAAGAAGATGGGATGAACCCTCATTTCCAAGTGACCGTCACGTGGTTGAGGGTGTCTATTATTATTATTATTTTTTAAAGATTTTATTTATTTATTTGAGAGAGAGAGAATGAGAGAGAGCACGAGAGGGAAGAGGGCCAGAGGGAGAAGCAGGCTCCCCGCTG